AAATTTAAGGCAAAAATATACATATTTTTAGACAAACAAAAGCCAAGAGAATTAATTCCCAGCAGACTTATGCCATAAGAAACTTTAAAGGAAGTTCTTTAGGTAGAAGGAATATGATACCAGACAAAAACTTGGATTTACACCAAGAAATGAAAAACTCCAGAAACAGTAAAAATGAAGACAAATATAAAACACTTTTAGGGCTTTCCAGGTACACAATCTTATCATCTGCAAGGGGTAGATTTACTCTTTTTCTCCCCAATTCTTATGCCTCTTATTGATTTCTCTTCTCTAACTGCTTTGCCTAACACCCAAGTACAACGTTGAATAGTAGAGGGCCTCTTTGGTTTATTGCTGATTCTTAGTGGAAATGCTTCTAGTATTTCCCTATTAAGTAAGATTCTAGCTTTAGGAGCAAAGTATATATATTTTATTATATTAAGGAGACACTCATCAATTTCACTCTGTGGTGAGTTTTGTCAAGGGCTTTTTCAGCATCTATGGAGATAATCATATGATTTTCTTCTTAAATCTATTAATCTGATGTATTATATTACTGTTTTCCCTAATCCCACTTGTTAATGGTATATAGTAATTGATGTTGGATTGTTTTCTAATATTTTATTTAAATATTTTTCATTAATATTCATAAGCAATTCAATAAGTCTATAGTTCTTTTTGTGCTGCTTTCTAAAAAATTGAGTTTAAATATCAACGCTATACTTGCTAGATAAGGAAGAAACTAGAAGCTTTGAAACAATTTATGGCGCATCGGGGCTATATAGTCTTCACAGATTTGGTAAAATTCTCCTGTGAAACCATCCAGGCCTGGTGCTTTTTTTTGGTGGGGAAATTCCTTGATAATTTTCTCTATTTCTTCTATAGAAATTAATCTGCTTAAGTTTTCTATCTTTAATTGAGTCAATATAGTAAATTGTATTTCCCTAGGAAAATCTCAATTTCATCTAAGAATGCAAATTTATTTGCATTGAAGTTTGCGAACTAGTTTCTTTTGATTTTTTTATTGATGTCATAATAGTTTATAACATTGTGAAATTTTAGTTGTACGTTATTGTTTGTGAGTCACTGTATAAATTCATCCTTCCCCCCTTATGCCCACCCCCCCAACCACCTGGCCCCTGGTAACCACCGAACAGTTCTCTCTGTCCATGTGTTAGTTTATCTTCCACTTATGAATGAAATCATGCAGTGTTTGTCTTTCTCTCTCTGGCTTTGTCTTTCTCTTTCACTTAACATAATAGCCTCCAGGTCCACCCATGTTGTTGCAAATGGGACGATTTTTGTCTTTTTTTATGGCTGAGTAGTATTCCATTGTATGTGTATGTATATATATGTGTGTGTATATATATATATATATATATACACACACACCACATCTTCTTTATCCAATCATCAGTCAATGGGCACTTGGGTTGCTTCCACTTCTCGGCTATAGTGAATAATGTGGCAATGAACATAGGGGCACTAGCTGGTGACACAACCACTTTGGAAAACTATGGCTTTATACCAGGAAACCCAGCAATTCTATTCCCAGGCACATACTCAACAGAAATATATACAAATGTGCACCAAAACGTGTACAGAATACCCATCCTGCTGTGTGATGTAGAGGAAAGCTACTAAGAGAGTAGATCCTACGAGTTCTCACCATAAGGAGACATTTACTTTTCTTTTCTTTTTGTCATATCTATATGAGATGATGGGTGTTAACTAAACCTATTATGGTAATCATTTCACTAGATATATAAATCAAATCATCATCCTGTATGCCTTAAACTTTATACAGTGATTTATATCAGTTATTTCTCAAGAAAGCTGGAAAAAAAAAAAAAGAATGCCCATAGCAGCACAACTCATACTAGCCAGGATCAGGCAACAACTCAAATGCCCATCAGCAGTAAAATGGACTAATTGTGACATAGTCAAACAATGAAATCCCATATGGCAATGAAAACAAATGTACTAGAAATACACACAATTTGGCTGACTCTCAAAAATATAATCTTGAGCCAAAGAAGCCAGTCCCAAGAGAGTATATATTGTAAGATTCACTTTTTATAAAGTTCAAAAACAGATGAGGATGGTGATGACCTCCAGGGAGCAGAGGAGTGACGAGGACACAGGGGTGCTGTCTTGTTGTATTTGTTGATCAGAGTGGTAGTTACATGAGTGTGTTCACTTTGTGAAAATGCATCACTCTGCACACTCAGGACTTGTGTGTTTTACTGTATGTTTGCTATACTTCAATTCAAGGTGCACATTTAAAAGGATTTAGGAGAACCAACTGATAGATGTGGATGGAGAGGGACAGAAAGAGTCTATTGTGACTCTAAGGTTTTGGCCTGAGGAACCAAGTCAATGGAGTCACCCTTTACTGAGATGGCAAAGAGCAGAGGAAAGGCCATTGTGGGCAGGTGAGGAGGAATCAAGTTCAGTTTTAGACATGCTCTCATGGAGGTACCTAGCGGGCTTTCAAGTGAAGATGCCAAGTAGCCACCTAGATATTCAAGTCTGGAGCCCCAGGGGGAAGTCAGAGCTGGAGATGCAGATTTGGAAGCCTAATTGTGTAGATAGAATACAAGGCCGTGAGCCTGGGTGAGATCTCCAAGGGGGTGAGTGTGGGGAGAAGAGAGAAGGTCCACGGACTGGGGGAGCAGGAGGGTGCTCATACATTTAGTCTGGTGAAGGATAAGGGCCATAAAGGAGACCAAGAAGCAGCCAGAGAGGTAGGAAGGAAACCAGGAGAGTGTGGTGTCCCAAGTGTCTCAAGGAAGAGGGAGTGATCAACCGTGTCTAAGGCTGCTGATAGGTCAAGATGATATCTGAGACTTGACCCCTGGATTCAGTGCCCCGGAGGCCGTTGGTGAACTTGTCAAGGGCAGTTGCATGGAGTAGCGGCATCTGAAGTATGGAGTAGGGGAGGACAGAATGGGAGGTGAACGCGTGGAATGCAGATAGCTCGTCTAAGAGTTTTGCTGTGTAGGTGAGCTGAGAAATGGGGCAGGAGGTAGAGGAGAGGGTGGGGCCAAAGGATTTTTGGATGGGAGCTATTACGCCTATTTGTGGAGGGGAAGCAGTAGACAGGACAGGCAGGAGAGAGGAGGCAGTTATTGGAGCCAGATCACTGGGTGGGAAGAGGACAGGACTGAATTATACTTGGGGCTTCATTTGCCAAGTAGAGGGCAACATTTGAGCAATCAGAGAGAAAGGTGATCCAGCAGATAAGACATTGCCTGAGGAGGCCACTGCCCCTGGATAAGAGCTGTACATTTCCTTTTCTTCCTCCTTCCTTTAGCTGGGCCCAGGGCAGGGAGATTCAAAGGTTTCTCCTAGAAAACAGGTCTCCACCAGGGTGGGGCAGGGCGGCCTTGGGGCTGGACTAGGCTGGGCGGGGCACCCTCCTCCCATCCCACAAATGCTTACACAACCTTCAGCAGCAACAAACACCACTGGGTGCCTTGGACCACACCAGGGTTCAGAGAAGCCTCCGGAGCTGGAGCCGGCAGAGGAGCCAGCATGGTGGAGATCGCGCCCTTGTCTGTGCCATGGGAGCGCAGGCTGCAGACTTTTGCGGTCCTGCAGTGGGTCTTCTCCTTCTTTGTCCTGGGTAAGGAGGGCTGGGCTTGGGGACAGGAGACCATGGGCACCTGCCACTCCGGGTGCACATAGTGCATTGATGGCGAAAAGACATTCATCCTGAAGGGGGCTTTGCTGCACTCAGAAACTCTGCCCAGAGAGCCTTTTGGGCCTGCCGAGAGGCCTTGGGAGGGTGTGGGAGGGTGGGGGTAGGGTGGGGTAGAAGCTATCATCTGTGGCTTTGGCCAGGTTACTTACCTTTCCTGGGCTGTGGGTTCCACCTTAGTACTAGAACAGAGAGCCTGCCTTAGGCTGCCTGGTGGCATGGGGAAGGATCTAGGCAACTGTGGGAAAGTTCCAGGCTTCTCAGCCTGCTCAGAGGGGATGGATTTCCTTTTTCCCTTTCAGAGAGGAGGAAACTGAGACTTGGGGGTGGGGAAAGAGGGGAACAGGGAAAGAAATGGAGGGGGAGAGGAGGTGCGGGCTGAAAGTGGACTGGGGAGCAAAGGGGGTACCAGGCAAAACTGGGTCAGACTCCGGCTGGGCAGCTGACCAGCTGTGCGAGCTTCGTGGGCCCACACCTGATATCTCGATCTCATCATCTGCAGAAGGGGAGTAACCATGCTGACCTCACAGGGCTGCTGTGGGATGAGATGAGGAAATGTGCTTACTCCACTTGGCCTAGCCCGGGGCTGGGATCACACGGGAGGGTTAGGTCCTCTTGCCCACCCCACCCCCCACGGTGAACACATCCATCATGGCCAGGGAGCCCACACTGGCCCAAACTCCAGCTCTGCTGAAGGGGACGTCTGTGAGGAGGGCCCAGGACCGTGGGAAGAGAGAGGGACTGGGAGCAGTGGGATTCTGCATCTCATCTGCCGGCACCAGACTGAGTGGGAACTGCTACCCCAGGGCTGGTGTTAGCCTGTACACAGATGCCACTATCCTCGTGATAAAATACGGACATACATAAAATATGGGCAGACAGGTTGGTCAACAGCCATGTCACGCGCGCTCGCACGCGCACACACACACACGCACACACACACACTACGTACCATATACACCAGGTGCTCCCTCAGAAGCTCCCCACTATTTTGCAGCTAAAGGATTCACCCCCAGCAGAGCAGGCCCTCCAGTACTCTGCCCCCAGCATCCCTTCTGATTGATCTGCGTCTCCATGCTAAGGTCGTTAAACATTTTAAATATCCCTGGTTATCCCCATTACACAGATGAGCAGAGACACTAAGTGCCTTAAATGCCCCAGGCTGTAGACCCCAGTCCTGGGCTCCTCCTATTGCCAAGGAGGAAAGGGAAGGAGACGGACGGAGGAGGGAGGAGAGAGGACAGAGGGAGTGGAGGAGGTGTGGACTACAAAGTAGAGGCCGGCAGCGAGAGCACAGGAGGGAGCTCTATGCCCAGGGCAGGCTGCAAGTCGGCTGGCTCCTGGACAAAGGGCACTAGGGGCCCAGAGCCAGGCAGGCTGTGGCCTAGGGGTCACAGGGAGTGAAGGGCATCATGTGCAGCTTGCCTCGTGTGAGCTTTGTGAGCAGGAGTGTGTCTGACTGGCCGTGCCCACCCACAGCCCTGCAGGCTCCTGGCCCGGGAGCCTGGGGATGTCGGGAGCAGCACAGAGAAGTCAAAGTAGCCCAGGGCCTGGAAGGCTAGAGGGAGGCCAATGGAGAAAAGGAATCTGGGCCAGGGGGTGCCAGTAGGAGGAGGTTTTACCTGATCCCTTATCCTGAGGGCGAAGGGAGCCCCAGAAGGCTTTAGATGGGGGCGTGACAGGGTTCAATATGCGTGTTAAAGGTCCCTGCCGCTGCAGTCAAGCTATCTACTGTGTTTGGGGTGTGGGGAATAGACCGATGGCAGGGAGCAGTCACCATCTAGATCAGGGGTCACCAAATTATGGCCCATGGGCCAAACCCAGCCCACTGTTTGTTTTCGTATTTGTACAGTCCATGAGCTAAGAACGTTTTTTACATTTTTAAATGGTTGCATTTAAAATGATTACGTGCCCACATAATGTAATATCCTCCAAGTTGTGTCTTGAGCCTCAAAGTCTAAAATATTTACAATCTGGCCCTTTAAGAAAAAGATTGCCTCCCTGGTCTAGGGAGGCTGGCAGCAGGTGGAGAGAAGTAGCCCCGAAAAAGAGAGATTTAGGAGATGGGGTCCACAGGGCGGGATTGAAAGGGCTTCCAGTGGAGGAATAAAGATGATGCACATTGATTGAAGAGCTGGTTCACGCAGGAGTTAGAGGAGGCATTTTGGGCAGTAGCAAAGAAGTGGCCAGAGAAGTCAACTAGGGCCTGTCCCCAGGACTCAGAGCTGAGAGCCAAATACTTCCCAAATGGGTTACTTGTTTACCGTCTGTTTCCTTTCCTCTTCTCTGCAACTCACACACTTACGGCAGCAAGTTAAGTTCCATTCAAACATTTTGTCTTGTTCTCAGCTGCATCTCCAGCTCCTAGAAGAGTTGGAGTTGATAAATATTTGTTGAATGAGTGAACGGGAGCATGATGTAGCCAAAATAGTAGGATTGAATCCCAGGTCCCATCCTACTAGCTTGCTGTGTGACCTTAGCCAAATCGCATACACTCTCTAGACCTTTATAAAATAGGGTTTTAAATTTTTCCCTCTCAGAGTTGTGAGGATAAAGTGAAAGAAAATGTCTCCCTTTTTAAATGACCGACTGAGTTGAAGGGGGAGCTCAGAGTGAGAGGGATGGTGAGGTTGGGGAGAGGTCTTTATGGTCAGGTGCAAATGCCCAGTGTTCTATTCCTAACGTTTTTTTTCTGACTGCAAAACTAATCCATACTACTGTAAAACACTCAAACAAAATGTGTATCCCAAAAGCAAAAGACTTCTCAAAATCCTACCCTCCAGGTAGCCACTATTAACAATTTGTTTTTATTCTCTAGAGCTGGTTTTCTTAAAGTGGGAACCACCCACACAGACTTGATTTTGCCCAAGGGGAGAGGGCCCTCACTGCAGTTCTTTATTGTTTTTTTCACATTAAAATTTTTTAATATAGAAAAAAACAAATAAGACTTAAGTCAATCTGCCTGCCATCCTGTCTCCTTCCTCCAGATCCATGGGACTCCTTCCATCCTCTATGCATGTGCAACCATATATGTGCAAATGATCTTTTTCATACAAATAGTGGCATTTTATTCCCACTCTTCTACAACTCTTTCAAAATTTTTATTAAAAAACATTTAAGACAAACACAAAGGTGACCAAGCCACAAGCAGTTGGTGGTCCTCTCCTGCCCCCTCCAGGAACCGCACAGCTGATGTGAGGATTAAGCATTGGTTACAGCAGTGACTGACTGACCGGAGGGTCTGGGATCGAGGGGGAAATGCCTGGCGGGAGGAGCTGCCCGTGAGAATAGAGACTCAGGGCTACCCTTCCTTCCAGTTTTCCAAGAGACATCAGATGTCGGGGTTTGTATGCGAAGCCTCCCCATTTTTCATTATTAATAACTAATTCAATAGTATTTTAAAATAAAGTGCAAAGATGGAAGCAACCCAAGTGTCCATTGTTCCGTCAATGGATGAATGGATAAACAAAAAGTGGTATATACCTACAATGGAATATTATTCAGCCATGAAAAGGAAGGAGATTCTGACACGTGCTACAACATGCATGAACCTTCGGGACATTATCCTTAGTGAAATAAGCCAGTTGCAAAAAAACAAATACTTGATAATTTCTCTTATATGAGGTTCCTAAAATATTTAAATTCACAGAGACCGAAAATAGAATGTGGTTGGCAGGGACTGGGGGAGGTGGTTATGGGGAGTTATTGTTTAATGAGTACAGAGGTTCAGTTTGGGAAGATGCAAAGAGTTATGGAGATGGATGGTAGTGATAGTTACACAACAATGTGAATGAACTTAATGCCACTGAACTGTACACTTAAAAATTGTTACGATGATAAATTTATGTTATGTATATTTTACCACAATAAAAATTTAAAAAACAAAGTGCCCCAAACACAACACTGGAAAGTCAGCTCTACAAGGGCAGGAGTTTCTGTCTGTTGTTCATTGCTGTCCCACCAGCACCTGGCACATCATAGGTGCTGTGTGTAAAGCGAACATTTGTGAGCCCCAACCTACATCATGTGGCTGGTGAATTTTACTACTGTTCAGACTGAGTCAAAAGTCTCCTCCTCCAGGAAACCTGCCAGGAATGACAGACCCAGTCCACCCTACTTTCAAATGGAATACGCATCTGGAGGCTGACCTTTAAGAGCATAAGTGCATGGTGTTGAGTAGAGGGAATAGGATGGGGAGGGAGCAATATTCTAAGGGAAGGATGCTCCATCGGGATCAGATCAGGGACGACCCACAGACCGTCTGATCCTGAGATGAAGCTGGGCTTAGCCTGCAGCAAGGGATTCAGAATCATAGGTTAGAGGGAAATTCCTCACTGGGCCAGGTCCTAGCCCTGCTGCACCCCTGATCTGGGGGCCAGCCGGGGATTAATTTCTTTCTTCCTCCCTCCTTCACCAGGAAAGGGCATTGCAGGCAGAGGAAACAATGAGCAAAAGCTAAGAGATTGAAGGGGCTCAGTGAGTTGTAGGACCACTGAGCAGTTTACTCTGGCCAGAGCATTGGGTGTGAGGTGGGGAGGCGAGGCTGCAGCAGGAGGGGGTTGGGCCAGCTCCTGGGAAGCTTGGCTGCCAGGCTGAGCTGCTGGGCTGTGCCTTGAAGTTATGGGAAAGCCATGGAAGGGCTTTAATTAGAGGAGGAATCTAGCCAGATTCATCTCTGGAAAGATGGGGCAGAGGGTGGACAGAAAGCAGGCTGGGCAGAAAGAGTGTCCTTTTTCTCTGAGGTCCCAAAAGATGGAAACTAGAAACAGTTAATACAATCAGTTGTCCATCAGGCACTTATTGAGCACTTGGTGAATGCAGACTACTATACTGGGGGTGGGGGTGGGGGCGGGGATTGGAGTGACTAAGGCAGCCTGATGCAGGGGGCAAAAATGAGTTTTGGAGTTAGGCCTACTTAGGTTCAAATCCATGCTCCTGTGTGACATTGGGCTGGCTGCCTTCCTTCCTCCTTGAAGGCATGGAAAGCTCATCTCTTCCTCCTGGGGCTGAGGGCTGGACAGGACAGTGCCAGTGCTGGGCACATGGGGAGAGCTTGGTCCGGGCAGTCTCACCCCCTTCTTCTCACACCTCTGACCACTGACAGCTCCTGCTTCCCTCCCCAGCCCAGATCTGCACTGTGGTCTTCATAGGCCTCCTGTTCACAAGATTCTGGTTATTCAGTGTCCTGTATGCTATCTGGTGGTACCTGGACCGAGACAAGCCATGGCAGGGGGGCAGGCGAAGCCAGGCCATAAGGCGCTGGGTCATCTGGAAGCACATGAGGGACTATTTCCCCATCTCGGTGAGTACTGGGTCTGGCTGTGGCATGGCCAGGGCTGTAGTGCCCCACATCGCCATGGGGGAAGTGTGGCCCTGTGTGCAGTGAGCAGAACACTGGGCTGGGAGGTAGGCGCGGGGCTTCCACCACTGTGTGGCCTGGGAAAGGGTCCAGCTTCTCTCTGGCTGTGGTTTCCCACCTGCAGGGATGTGGGGCCATATGAGGACTGATGAATGTATAGGATTTGCAGGAGCTCTGTGGGGCATATAATCTGGCACATGGATGTATCTTACAGGCGTAAACCCTTCAGCAGCCCAAGTTTGGGGGTGAAGGTAATAAACTCAAGGTCCTAAGAGACCATCTGGCCCCACCCTCCATCAGATGAGGAGACTGACACCCAGAGAGAGACAAAGGTGTGACTAAGGTCACACAGTAAGTTCTTTCACTGGTTTTACAGTTTGCATATTAACTGTGGGTAAAGGGTCAGAACTGGTTCTCAGGTTCTATCCTGCCCCTGACTCTGGTATGTTATGTGTCTTGGGCAAGGCCTTGCCTCATTCTGAACCTCAGTTTCCCCATGTATCCAGTAAACACACTGATCCTTCCTACTCTGAGTGTCATTGAATCTCTGACTCTGACTCAGGGCACCTCAGGGCCATGTGGACTCTTAACCCTGGACCCAAAGATTGGTCCTGAGTGAAGCAGAGCCCTGAATTTGAGTGAACAGACCCTTCGGCTGCTTCACTGAATCCCAGGCAGACTAAACCTTTGGAGGTAAGCAGCTGGGCAGGGATGGTTTACTGGCCAGATGGGACAGGATGGGGAAGACAGTAGGGACACAGAGGTGCCAGCCAGGGGCAGCTGGCCCTCCTCTGGAAACAGGAGAGAAGAAAGTATAGAGTGTGGCCTCTGGAGCTAGACAGACTAGGTTCTAATACCAGCTGTGTGACTTGGGGTGAATTACGCAGTCTCTCTGAGCCTATTTCCACATATGTAAAGTGGAGACGATGTCAAATACGTCACTGGGTTATGTGGATGCAATGAGACAGCAGATCAAGTACCCACAGGTTCTCAGTAAACTAGTAGCTGGTATGATTTTACTGAGTCAGTGGGGACTCTGGGGGGACCTGGGCATGGCTGTGGGTCTGGGAGGACTCTGATAGCCAGAGCCGTGCTGCTCTGACCTTCACGCCTGCATGGCTTCTCCCACCCCTTCCAGGAGCCCCATCTCTTTCTGCCCGTCCAGGAATTAGGTCCCCAGCTGGTAAAGGGGGAGAGAGTGGAGGAAACAGGTTCATAGACGTTAAATAATTCACCCAAGTCATGGGCATTCAGCAGCAGAGTCAGGGCTCCGCCTTGCTCTCTTCTGAGAGTCCTGAGGCCCAGCAGGGACTAGCACAGGCTGAGCAACAGCTGGGGTGCAGGAGCCCATTGCACCCCAGTGAGCAGGGCCTCTTGGGAAAAGGGCAAGGGTGAGATTGGGGGGCAGGGGCAGGGGCTGGGCAGAGGGCAGGAAGTTGGCCAGCAGAGACTTCCATGCTCATGATGGGTGGTAGATGTTGAAGGGCAGAGCGAGTGGGCAGTGCTGAGCTAGCCCGAGGGACCCAGGTTGGGGGCAGTCTTCCCAACCCCCCACATCTGCTTCCTCTGCAGGGCGCCCTCCCAGGGTCTTGTCAGCAAACACGAGCAGGGCTTGCTGGGTCCCGAGAGGAGCCATGGGCATGTCATGGGCAGAGTCCCTCATCTCCATCCCAGGACCTCTGAGCTTTGAGATTCTGAGCTCCCTTCCCTCCCCTTCCTCTTCCCAGGCCAGGGCTCGCTCTTCTGTGCCAGGAAGGTCAGAGTTCCCATGGGAAAGTGTGGCCTTAGCCTGGGAGTGTGTGTGACATCAGCCACCAAGCCAAAGAAAACCTGAAGCAGGTTCTGGCCTCTGATCGAGTTTTGTGGATTCTGGCTCTGTGGTCTCACCTCCCACTGCAAGCTGAGTCCTGAGTTCACCAGGGAAGGAAAGGTGCCCTGTGAAGGGAACAGCACAGGTGCGGGCCCAGAGCCTGCCACCATATGGTTTTGGGGCAATAGACCTGATGCTCAGTGTGTCTCAGCAGAGGGCACACCTGGGATGAGGCTGGAGAGGTTTTCAGGGATAAGGTATCCAGGCCACTAAGGCGATTCCACAGAACTGGGGCTCTTCAACTGCAAGTTCTCCAGGGGGCTGTTTTCCAGTCAGCCGAGGGCCTCCAAAGGTCGGCATCTGGTCTCTTTGCATCTGGAGCTGCTGCCAGAAAAATGGTGCTGAGGCAGCTCTGCACCTGTCCTACCCACGGCCCTTCCTACTCCTCCCCTCGCCAGGTGCCTCTCAATGAGGGTTTCTCAACCTCTGCACTATTGACCCTGAACTTGATCTGCAGAAATTCTATGTGCACAATGTATCAGGATTGTTGCCCACAGCAGGCCTGTTGCATTACCACCTGCAGAGGGCAAGATGATGTGCACTTTGAGTTGCCTGACTTAGGCCCGGAGCCTGTCGGGGGTGGGGGGGTGCTGTGGCCTGCAGGTTCCCTTCCCCACAGTCTCCCAGGAGACCCTCCAACTCTTCCACACACCTTTACAGTGTGGGCCCTGCAGGGATCTTGGGGTGGGCAAGAGGCAGGGACGCCCAGGCCAGCAGTCCCAGCTGTACTGGAGCTCTCCTGTCAAAGGGGTGTGCGTTTCTGAGCTGCTATTGGTTCTCACTGTGATTTTATAAGCTAGTGTCTAGTGGTGGAATTTTAAGCAAAGTTAGGAACCTGTTTCCAGGTCTTGGAGCTTTCTAAACTCATCCTATAGGCTTCCTACAGAGCTGAGGGTGGAGAATCAGGCAATGTTTCAGATTTCATCATTCCGAAGCCAACACTGTCTCTACTGGCCAAGGCCTGAGGAGGGGCGAAGTGCTGTGGCCAGGCCTGTGACCTGGTGTCAGGCAGCGCTGCAGGCTCAGGGCAGCATGGGACCCCTTCCTGACCCTGCCCACTCACACCTGGGACCATCTCTTGGTTCCTCTGCAGCCTGCAGGCTGTAGGGACTTTGTGTCACCCCTCCCAGCCCGGCCACCTCCCAGCACACTGAGATCTCTTAACCTGAGTCAGAGGGACTCAGGTGGCCAGCCACCCACCCAGGACAGAACTCCAGCTTACACAGCCCTTGGACGGGGTGCTCGCTTCCTCCTGCGATGGCCCCTTCCATTATGGGAGGGCTCTGCCTATGAGAAGGTCTTCCTTCATGTGGAGCTGGGGCCTGTCTCCTGTGACCCTCCCGGGAGTCCTACCTCTGCCTTGGGCACAGAGGTCCCCTCCGCCCTGGGGCTGCCAAGCAGAGATCAGGGGGCCTCCCTTCCTGTGCACTTCCACAGCCCTTCCTGCCCCTCCCTCTCCCAGCCAGGTAGCTTTCTCCACCTCAGCACCATCGCCATTTTCAGGCTGAGTGATTCCTTGTGTGTGGGGGGGTCTACCTTAGCCTCTACCCACTAGATGCCAGTAGCACCGCCCTTTACCAGTGGTGACAACCAAAAATGTCTGCAGACTACCAAATGTCCCCTGAGGGGGCGAGGGGGACAAACTAGCCTGGGTGAGAACCACTGCTCTAGAGCCTGGGGCCTGTCTCCCAGACTCCTCCCAGGTCTCACCTTCTCTCCTCCCTACTCCCTAGTCCTGCCCACAGTCACGTCTTTATCTGACCTCCACTTCCGCCAACACCGGCTCCACTCCATCCTCCACATGGAGGCCAGAATAATCCTCATACAGTGTTAGAACACAGCAGTGACTCTCACCACAGCTAGAATAAACTCTAATTTTTGCCATGGCCTGCAGATCCCTGCACTCTGGCCCTCTGCCCACGCCTTGCCTGCTTCTCCTTCCCCCACTGCTTCCGAGTCCTCCAGGCGTGAGCCCTGTCACATGTGCTGGCTCCTTTACTTGAAGTGCACCCTTCACCCCATTAACCCCCAGCACCTTTCATTTGGGGACTCCTACAAGGCGGCAGAACTACACACGGAGACAGGCTGCCTGTGTTCAATCCTGCCTCTACCGTTTTACTGGCTATGTGACCTAGAGAGGTTAATTAACCTTGTGTCTTAGTTTCCTCATCTGTAAAATGGGGCATTGATAGCAATACCTCCCTCGCAGGTTAACAGGGGATGGAGCGAGGTGGTGTACGTAAGGTGCCTGGCACACAGTGGGTGCTGGGAATGTTCACCACCTCGGGCATCTGTGCAGCTCTCAGTGCCTGCACAGACTGGGTTTCTTCAATTTTAAGATACCCTCAATGGTAAAATGTACCAGTATTTTGTGTACCACTAAGAAAAAGGTTTTTCCAATTAGAATTGTCAAATGCATCTTAATAACAAAATCTTAAGATGTGAAAAAAAGGTGCATCTTAGAATCAAGGGAATATATCCACAGATGTCAATGAGTGTCTGTTCAACGAGTGTACGACTGTGGAATAGTGAGAGGGCAGGGCTGAGAGCTTATCCACTGAGGAGCCTTTCCTTCCATCTGGTTGTGATGGGAGGAGACGGGGAAGGACCCCAGTCCCCACAAACACACACACACACACCCCCACAAACACACACACAGCCAACCGCCTGAACCTGGAAGGGGACTCCTATGCTTTACAGTGACATTGGTGTATATCGAAATCCCCTGGGAAATTTGTCACAAACCAGATGCCTAAGGCCAGATCTGGACCTACTGCATCAGACCCTGCTTGCCCCACACTTTGACCCGCCAAGTAACAGAAATACGTAAATAGGTCATGAACTGTTTCTCCAGGGCCAGACCCCGGAGCAGGGAGAGGCAGGCTGCTGATGCAAGAATCGCCTTCTACTGGAAGAGGAAGTCTGAGAGTCCCGGACTTTCCAAGTTTGACAAGAAATGAAAAGGCCCCAGAGATAGTCCTGAGTCTCGGGGTATCTCCCTTGGTCTGGAACAAAGGCTTCCTGGCTCTCCCTGGTGCTCTCCACAGGAGATGGCGGAACTCAGATTCGGGTCCTCTGTGTGGCTTTGGGCAGGTCACTTACCCCTCTGCATCTCAGTTCACTCAGCCGTCAAATGGGGGCTCTCACACTGCAGCCAGCCTCCCGAGGGCCGTGGTTAAAGAGGCTAGTGGTGTGGGTGCTTCATGAACCATAAAGGAGCCATCAGGACAGTGGGCTCTTGAGGCATTTGGGTCGCCCCAGGGGTGTGAGAGGGCACACGGGCCTTTGTCAAGAGATGGGACTGGGCAGACATGGTAGAGACATAGCCCCTCGCTGTCCTCCCTCCCACCCAAGGTCCAGATGCCCTCTCACGGAGGGCCTGCTGCAGGCCTGTGGTCTTCTAGGCAAGGGTCTTGGGGTTCAAAGTAGCAATGCCCTTAAAACTGAAAACATGTCCTCACAAAGACTTGTACTCAAGTATTCATGGCCACATTATTTGTAATGGCCAAAGGGTGGAAATAACGCCAATGTCCATCGACTGATAGACAGACGAACAAAATGTGGTCTATCCACACAATGGAATAGTATTCCACCGAACCAATGGAATGAAGTACCAATCCATGCTGCAACGTGGCTGAACCTTGAAAACATTCTGCTAAGTTAAAGAAGAGACACAAAAGGCCACATATTTTGTGACTCCGTTCATATCAAATGTCCAGAATAGGCAAGTCCATAGAGGCAGAAAATAGATTAGTGGTTGCCAGGGGCTGGGGGAAAGAGGTGAGACTGCTAATGGATATGGGTTTCTTTTCGGGGTGTTGAAAATGCTCTGGAATTAAATAGTGGTGGTGATTGCACATCTTTTAAATATACTAAAACCACTGAATTACACACTTTAAAAGGGTGAATTTGGTGGTGTATGAATTTTATCAATAAAAAAATAGCAACCCCAGAGCTTAGCCTAGCCTGGCCGTCCCCTTTGCCAGCCCCCCCTGCCTGGTGCCCAGCCCAGCCCTCAAGGCCATGCCCCTAGAGAAGGCTTTCCCCAGACAGCATCCATCTTTGTGCAGTCACACACCCCTCCTCTAAGAGAACTGAGGGAGCAAGACAGAGAGCACAGAACTTTACAAACCTTCCCCTCTGTTTACCTCCCTGAACCTCCCTGAACCCAGTAGCAACCCTGCCAGAGAGGCATTATCACTGTCCTGTGGGACAGAGGAGAAACTGAGGCACAGAGAGGGCAGGGGCCTGGCAAAGGTCATGTGATGAGCCAGTGGCAGAACCTGGATCTCCTGACTCCCAGCTCAGAGTCCTTTTCCCTGCTAGTAGAACTGAGGTGACACATCAGGACAGGATCAAGGGCAGGGGGCCTTCCTTCCAAGGCAGGCTGATCAGCCTCTCCACCCATGAGGTCATGCTTTCCTTCCTTCACTCCACAGTCTTTCCAGAGCATCTCCTCTGCTCCAGGCCTGCAAGGGGACAAGACGTGCATCAGGCAGGTGGTCTCTATTCTCAAGGCCCTCACGGTGATGGTGTGATACCACAGGGGACAGATAGAGGAGGTCAGCACAGAAAGACAGCAGTAGAGACCATGTCTGGGGAGGCGCAGACTGGGCCTCAGTGAGACAGCGATGGCCCCACCAGTGTGCACACTTGGACACACCCATGTAGATGCATGTGCCAGTATTGGCACACTTGCCTCGACACAGGCCCTCACCCTCACCAGGATATTTCTCTACACACAAAGCCTTCTTTATTAAGGGGATAATCATTACTTCATTCATTTGTTCATTTATTTTATCCGTTTCATTCATTCATTCATTCATTGTTTATTTAAAATGGGTAATACAATCTTGTTCAAAATTCAAAAGGGACAAAAGGGTGTGTAGTAAAAAAGCCCCATCCCATTTCACCTGCCATCTCCCCAGTTGCTTCCCCAGAGGCCACCCTGACGGCCAGTGTCTGGTGAATCCACACACAGCAAATGTGGGTTCCCCTCTCGGCACAGCTGGTGACCTTCTACAGGCATCATCGTGCCCTTTGCTTTTCCACTTAACAAGCGACTGTGGCCACCTTCCCGCATCAGGACGGGAAGAGCTGTGTCATGCTTCTCTATGGCTGCACAGTCATCCCTCGTGTGAATGTTTCATAATTTCTTTAAACAGGCCTTGTGAACGGACATTTGAGTGGATGCTAAGTTTTTGATATTACCCAAAAATGACGCTGCGGTTAGTAATCTTGTTCAGACGTCATCTTGCACAAGAGTGAGAAATTCTGTAGCTAAATTCCTCAGCAGCGAGTTGCTGGGTTAAAACGTCCGTTACCTTTTTTGGTTGTGATACATATTGCCAAATCACCTTTATGGAGGTTGTACAACATTACCTTCCCACTGGCTGACAAAGAGGAATCATAAGCAAGTGCTGCAGAGCAGGGAGCCAGGTATGTTTTTAAAGAAACCACCGGATGGGCTCCCGAGAAAGCACCTTTCCCAATGAGAATAACCAGAGATTTCTCTGCTCTGTGTTTTTTTTTTTTTTTTTCCACATCAATAAATCCCCCACTGCATGACTGGAAGAGGTTTGTCATTGTCTAGGAGACAATGGCCCTTCCACCTGTGGCCCCTGCAGCCTTTCTGCAAAGATTCAGTGGATAACCAGGAGGGCGTATGGGGTGTGGCAGTTTGCAGAGACCAAGTCGAAGTCAAGGACAGGATAGTCTGGGCTGTTCAGCCCAGATGGGGCAGACAGGCTAAGAGCTCCACTGCTGTCCCCCAGGACCCTCGAGGCTTTTCTGAGGGCAAGCAGCCAGGCCTCTGTGGCCCCTAAAACAGCAATAAGAGTCCTTAGGGAGTCACCCACTGAAAGTTGCAGCTTGATGACAGGATGAACTTACACCCTGGCAAAGCTGAGCCACAGTGGAAAGGGCCACCCCAGCCTGGGAGTGCAGGTTACATGGCCTGGGCAGTCCTATCAGGGAGCCTCCTGCAAGGGGCTTGGGACTTGGGACAGAGGCCCTGGGGCCTTCAAACTCTGGTGGCTGTGGCTCCCAAAGAGCAGGGCACTGTAAAGGGTGGGCCCTGTGGTTCCTGGCAGGGTGGGGAAGGGATCAGTTCCCCACTACAGACACACACACACACACACACACACACACACAGTCACTGCCCACAGCAATAATTGCTGACTTGGCTACATCGCAGCCTGTCCAGTAACCAGCAGGGAACAGCATCTGTTGATGCAGTTCCTGCCCCCTCCACCCTCACTCCACTTCACAGAAGCTGCTAATGACAAACGGCTCTCCTCTCCCACTCAGTCGACAATGTCTAGTGTTCCCTGCGACACCTTCCATGATGCAAGCCTGACCAGACCCAGGCAAGTCGCTGTGCCAGCAGAGCTGCCCGTGGCCGGGGAAAGAGTGGGCAATGAAGGTCTGGCGTGGGGGAAGCAGAGAGCCACAGGGGAGACACTTGCGTTGTACAGCAGGGTAAACAGGACTAGAGCCGCCCTCCTGGTCTGCATGCTCTTTCAACCTAGCAGGATGCCGCTCCTGACAGATCTTGTGAATGCTGGCTCCCAGGTCTTAAGTGTGAATTTTTCTTATATGGAGTTTTGTTAAAATGGGGCTCTTCCAGCACGGTGGTGCCCCTGTGTGGCTCTTTGGTGCCTTCAAATTATATCCTGTCATATTGTAGCCTTGGTAATTCCAGGGCATGCTCAGACCTGAGCTTTTCAGCAGTCCTGTTTGAGGTAGGCGGGAGAGGGCCCACGTCTCCATTTTACAGACGAAGAGCCCGAGAGGGGAGCAGTTTGTCCACAGCCGGCAGCAGAGCCAGCAGCGCGTCATCACCAGGCACATTCACACACCACGTCTCAATCTTCCTAAGAACCTGAGGCTCAGAAAGAGGGAGCAACTCGTCCAAGAGCACAAAAGTGAGTGGCAGAGTCAGGGCTGGCGCGCAGGTCCAGGCCTGGCTCACCAGGTTGCTGTCCCTGCAGCTGGTCAAGACCGCGGAGCTGGACCCCTCCCAGAACTACCTTGCTGGCTTCCACCCCCACGGGGTCCTGGTCACTGGAGCCTTTGTCAATCTGTGCACTGAGAGCACGGGCTTCCCTTCGCTCTTCCCGGGCATCCGTCCTCATCTGATGATGCTGCCCTTGTGGTTCCGGACCCCCTTCTTCAGGGACTACATCATGTCGGCAGGTGAGTCTTCCCACCCCTGAATAGCCCAGGAAGATGAGGCTGGAGGCACTGGAGGAGGGATCTGGGGAGAAGGGCTGTTCTATACTTCTTCGAAGAGCATGTGCAGTGAGAGAAGGAGGCTAGACCCAAGGAAGTGCTTCCTACAGTGCTGTGCTAGGCCAATGAGCTCGGTGAGAGGGTGAAGAAGAGGCAAAGGACTCACTTCCAGTCCTCAGGGAAGTCCCAGCTAGAGTGGGTGGGGTGTGGGACCCAGGCCTCGGTGGACACTGCTGGTGATCTCTTTCTTGAGCTACATCCACCCCCACAGTCCCTGCCCCTCACCCCATACCTCACCACCTTCCTCTCTCCCCAGGGCTGGTCACATCAGACAAGGAGAGCGCTGATTACATTCTGAACAGGAAGGACGGTGGCAACCTGCTGGCTATTGTTGTAGGGGGTGCCCAGGAGGCACTGAACGCGAGGCCTGGAGCCTACAAGCTATTGCTGCGGAACCGCAAGGGCTTCGTGAAGCTTGCCCTGCTGCACGGGTATCTGGGAAGGGCACTCTCAGTTCAGCTAGAGATTGGCAAGGATTATATTTTGGTGGGAAGACAGCAGAGACTACTACAGATTCTATTTTGGCAGGGAGATTCTCAGTCCGTTCACAATGAAGATTATATTTTGATGAGAGATGTACTGTCTCATGCCCAAATACCCAGAAAAGATTCCAGAAGGGACACTTGGTGATCAAAGGGACTAGGTGGGACGGGACATATTGCCCAAAGCTGGCACTTGATCTGAGACCTCTGGGATCTGGGAGAATGGAGTTTGGGGTGTATCGCAGAGCTGTTCTCCCACTTTGAAGCATCTTTGTGGAATATAAGCCAGCTGGAGCAGGAGAGATTTTTTTCAAGAAATTTTGAGGATGTTTCATATCTGGGAGCACTCTGAAGCATTCTGCTCTACTTGTCATGGTGGAACCAGGAGGCTGTGGCCCTAAGAGGGGCCAGGAACTGCCCAAGGTCGGAGAGTGAGGCCATGACAGCTCTGGGAGAGAACTCAGGCCTCCTACTTCTGGCCCAGGGCTCTGTCCTCACCTCCACTTCCTGGTCAATGGGTCCCTGCAGGTAGTAGGTGACCAGTTTGGGCCTTCCTCAGGGCCTCCCACATGCCCTCTCTCCTCTTTCCCTTCAGGGCAGCTCTGGTGCCGATCTTCTCCTTTGGGGAGAATGACCTATTTCACCAGGTTGAGAACTTGCCTGGCTCCTGGTTGCGCAGAATCCAGAACAAGCTGCAGAAGATCATGGGTTTCTCCCTCCCGCTCATCCGTGGCCGTGGTGTCTTCCAGTACAGCTTTGGTTTTATGCCCTACCGCCGGCCCATCACCACTGTGGGTGAGCCAAGACCCCAGCTGGGAGGGAGTAGGCTACAGGGAAAGGGGCCTGGTCTGTGTGCTGCAAGGGGACATGGAGATGGGCCCTCATAGAGCTCACATTCTAGACTGGGAAACAGACACACAAGCAGATAACCCCTATACAAGGCAGTGTGGGATGAGAACCATAGCAGAGGTGCAAAAAACAATAGTCACTACTGGTTACTGAGCCCCTGGTGTGTGCCAGGCTCTGTACTGGCTCCCTTACATGCAGCAGCTCAGTTTATCCAACAACCTTCAAGGCAGGACAATTCTCTCTATTTCATTGATGGCAAACTGAGGCTCAGAGAAGTTAAGCAACTTCCAAAAGATCACGCTGCCTTTGAGTAACAAAGTTGAGGTTTGAATTAGGATCTAGTTGACTTTTTATTATGCCAGAGAAGAAGGGTTTAATTCTGACCCAGAGGATCTAATAAGGCTTGAAGAAGGTGGATACAAGGGAAGGGCATTCCCAGTCTGTTAGAATTGTGTGTAAAGTAGCAATCAACAGGCTATGAATTAGCATCTGAGGGATTTTCCTATAAATAATGGGCATGAGCCTTAGTGCATGGACTTAGCACCATCTTTTTCGGTTATTTGGATCCCTCGTTTGCTTTCTTCTTGGATTCCAACTAGGTTCCTCTGACAAAGCCTGTAGAGAGAGGTCCATTCATCTCCATCCACCCATTTATTTGTTAGTTGAGCACAGACTTGGTGAAACCCCTAAATCATGACCTTCCCTGTGTTGTGTGACAATATTTTTATGAATGTTCATACTGCTGCTGCCTCCAGAGCTATTCCCACGAGAAGGCAGAGGAGCTGTCTTCTCAGCCAGGCAGAGCCAGAGGAAGGAGGTTAGGGCCTTCCTGACTCCTCCCTAGAATGAGGGGGGCGCTGCAGGCCAGCATGGAGGGAGAGAGGGGAAGAGCTGTCTGGGCGGTGGGCGCACCTCATCCCAGAAATACAGACACTTCGAATCGTGGCATCTTACACTCCCAGAACTATACGGCCTGGAGATTAAGAGCATACCCCCAGAGTTTGAAAGCAGGCACTGACTCTTCTTGGCCATGTGACCTTGAAAAGTTACTTAACCTCTCTGAGCCCCACTGCCTCACCCGTCAAATGGGAATAATAACAGGTTCTGTCCCTATAGGATTGTTATGAGGATAGAAGGAGATAATGCATGTAAAGCACTCAGCACATTGCCTGGTATGTTGCTGTTGTTATATCAGAATCTTGGAGTTTCTCTAACATCTTAGAATCTGTCACCTGAAATTGTGTGGAAAGGGATGGCAGTAAGAGCACTTTTCTGCGGGAATCACCCTGGGGTGGGCACCTTCCCCAAGGGCCCCTGCGACCCTGGTGGTTCCTGCTCTGAGCCACCGCCCACCGTTGTGTCTTGCAGTGGGGAAGCCCATCGCGGTGCAGAAGACACTGGAGCCCTCAAAGGAGGAGGTGGACAGGCTGCACCAGCGCTACATCAAGGAGCTGTGCGACCTCTTTGAAGCCCACAAGCTCAAGTACAATGTCCCCATCGACCAACACCTGGAGTTCTGCTGAGCGCCTCCCCAGAGGAGGGGCTGCCCAAAGGGTAGGGCTGGCATTAGGGAGCCCAGCGGGAGGTGCCGTGATCTGGGAAGGCTTCCTGGAGGCATCTGTTGAGCGTATCTCCAGAGCCTTCCCAGACTCCTATGAATCCGACCCGTGCCAGGCCCCAAGTCACAGTCAGCAACGTGGCCGAGGAGACCAGACTCCGGCACTGGTGATTTGCATTCCTGCTATGAAACCTCTGCGATTCTTCCTCTTCTTGGTCTGCTCATATGTGAAACGGGAGAGAGGGCTGGAAGAGAATGATTTCTGAGGTCTCTGTCCTCTGTTGTAATGTCACTCAACGGGCAGGAAAAAAAGAGCAGCAACCAATTACCAGATTTTTCTTCCTCTACCTTGAGTGACAGCACAGAAGAAGCCACCAGCCCCACCCGCTTCTCCTACGAGCTCCCTCATCCTCACCCTGGATGTCCCAGCTCCTCCCTGCCTGAGCTGGAGAGGAGAGGATGGCCATGAAGGCCCTGCATTCCCCCTAGGGAGCTTCGAGTTTCTGGGTCCTCTGAGCTCTGGAGTGGCAGCCAGAGGGGACTGGAGGTGGGTAAGGAGAATTACACTCTGTCACTGGCCGTATGACTGTGAGCAGGCCTCTTCACTTTCCCTCTGCACCTCAGTTTCCCCGACTGACTATGATGATGTCTGAGTCTCAGCTCTGATATCTCATAGGCTGAGAGGTCACAAGGGCACCTCTTATTCGTCCTTCATAACGTCAGCCCCTGATCTTGGCACAAAAAGGCAGCTCCGTAAAAGTCAGTTCAGTAAATGAAAGGATTCTATTTTAGCCTTCTCCTCTTCCTCCCCACCCCCCAACCAAGAGGGCTGGTCAAAGCCTTGCCTTTGACCCCCAGCCTGGCCCTGTCTTACCTTTCCAGAAGGTGGATCAGAGTGGGCCAGGGAATGCCAAGTTACCCCTTCCTTCCTGATCTGTCCACCATGCTTACCATGTCTGGCCCTGTTCTGCTGGGAAAGAAGGGGCAAGGATACATAAAGACAGACTGCAGACCAGTCCAGAGAACGAAGACCAGACGTGAGGCGTGCATGTGTGTGTGTCTGCACGGTAGGCAAGATGGGGACAGATGCCCTGATGAGAATTCTGGATTCCCGGGTTTGGGACCTGCATCAATAGTGAGGGGACAGGGCCGGCCCCATGGCTTAGCGGTTAAGTGCGCGCACTCCGCTGCTGGCAGCCCGGGTTCGGATCCCGGGCGCGCACCGACGCACCGCTTCTCCGGCCATGCTGAGGCCGCGTCCCACATACAGCAACTAGAAGGATGTGCAGCTATGACATATAACTATCTACTGGGGCTTTGGGGGGAAAAAAATAAAAAAATAAAATCTTTAAAAAAAAATAGTGAGAGGACAGAATGGCTGGGTAGGACCATACTTGTGAATCCCCTCACCTTCCAGCGGGGAAGCAGGTTCTTTTCCCTCTGGGAGCAGATCACACCAATAACCACAATGTGGGGGGCATTTTGAGAAGTGTCAATTTGGGTTCAAATCCTGGCACACCCCTTTTCAGTGACCCTGGACAAGTCTTATCACCTCCAAACTTCAATTTTGTCACCTGAGAGAGAAGGATTACAATATCCACCTCCAGGGCTGTGAGCAGAGTAAGATAATATTACGAGATACTAAGCCTGACTCCGCTAGATACTAAGCCTGACTCCGCGTCCTGTCTGAAATGATGTGGAGGACGTGTAAACTAGGAGTCAGGTGACAAATGTACCCAGTGTCTCAGGGAGGTGCCTGTTATCCTATGAGGCAGCATGTTCTAAGGGTCACAAGAGAAGTGAGAATACAGAGCAGTGGGGTTCAGAGGAGGGAGTGATGATTTCCAGCCAGGGGAAGACTTGCAGGAAGTGACAGGTGGGCAGGGCCGTGAAGGAAGGGCAAGATTTGCAAAGGATTGTAGTTACCCGTTGCTGTGTAATAAACATTCCACAACTTAATGGCTGAAGACAGCAAAGATTCTCTCACAAGCCTGAGGGTTGGCTGGGTGGTCCTAGGTCTTGCCTGGGCTCTTGCAGCTGCCTTCTGTCAATGGAAGACAGAAGATGTCCACCTCAAAGCTGGTGGGTGGGCTGGGGCTGGGGCGCTGGGGGCTGGACCCGCTGGGCCCTTCTCTACACTGCCTGGTCTTTTAGCATTCAATGGTGGCTGGATTTCAAAAGAACGAGAGCAAGGCTGCAAGGTCTCTTAAGTCCTAGGCTGCACAACTTGCAGAGTGTCACTTCGCTGCATTCTGTTGGTCAAAGAAAGTCACGAGGCCCGCCCAGATTCGGGAGTGAGGAACGGACTCCCCCTCTGCACGGGAGGAGCGGCAACGTCACAGTACGAAAGGCTGGGGACACGTGGAGGGATGCTTGAGGCCGTCTTTGCAAATAAGCCCACAAAAAGTTACAAATGAAAGCCTGCAGCCAAGCCACCCCCTCTCCACACACCCTGGAATTCCCTGTGTGACTGTGATAAAAGCCGTGGTTTATCCCATGGCTCAGCCTCTGCATCACTGCCGTCCCCACCTAGCTCTCCCCAATCCATCCTTCACATGCAGCCACAGTGAGCTGTCCAAAACAGAAACCCTGTCACCCCTACTCACAATCCTATGGCTCTCCATTGCTCCTAGAGTTTGTATCAGCCTGGATCCCAGCAGGGACCAGATGGCATACTGAAATTAGGATAATTTGAGGAGGGTCTAATAAAAGAGCAATTTTCCGAGGTGTGTGCAGGGTGTGCCACACAGGATGGCACAGTAACCCAGGGCTGGGGCAGCCGCAAAGTACTGCTACCCCCCTGAGGCCTGGAAGGACAGGTGGAGGCAGCAGTCACCTGAACCTGGAGAGAGTCGTGTGCAGGGGCCATCATTGGCCGAGGAGCACAGGCAGGGCCAGGTGACGCTGCAGGGAAGGGGCCAGGAATGAGCACCCCCCCCCCCACTCATCCCTCCATCTCCTGCCAAGGCTCCCTATTGCCTGAACCCAGTTGGAAGCTAGAGGGCACGAGGGCCTGCGGCTGCAGTCCACACAGGTGGGTCTCCCAGGGAAGAGCAGGGTGGAGGGTGGATCTGGAGGGGTCAACGGAAGACAGAAGATGTCCACCTCAAAGCCCCAGCTTCTTAGCGTACCGTTCCCCACTCTCCACCATCCGGCCCAGTTTTCTCCGTCCTCATCTCTCCCCATCCCGTTTGTTATACTGAACCGCTTGCAGTTCCTTGTATCAGCCACGTTCTCTCTCATCTCTGGGCTGTTGCCCATGCTGTTCCCTCTGCCTGGAATGCCAACTCCCCCACCCCGCCTCCCTCTTTGTCTGGGTAATTCCTACTCCTCCTTCAAGACGGGTTTCACCTACTCAAGGAAGCATTCTTTAATGCCCTTGGCTGAGACAGGGGTTTCCGCTGGGTTCCTCAGACTTGCCCTCCCTCCACCATAGCTCTCAGCACCCTGGTGGTCACAATACCATGCACTGAGGCTCCCTCCTCCAGCCCACCCTCATATAGCACCTGTGTCCTCTCTCTCCAACAAAACCCAGCTCCCTAAAATAGTCTCCAATGCCTCAGGATAATGCCTAAACTCCTCCTCAGCCTGGCATTCAAGGCCCTTTCTCATCTGCGTAGTCGACCTCACCAGCCTCACCTTCTAGACCTTCTCCCGTGCACCCCATCGCCGCCTGCACCCTTCACTGATTGCTGAGCACATGCTGCTCTGGCACCTGCTGTGTTCTGAGGCATGCTCTTCCCTTTTCCCGGAAAGTTCTTTCTCCTCGACTTGGTCCACGTCACTGACCCCCAAAGGTCACCTCCTTTGTGAAACCTCAGCACACCCCACCCACCCTCAAACTCTGCTCTCCCACCCCACTGCCCTGAATTAGAGTTAGTTACCCGTCTTTTGGGCTAGCTTTGGGGGTGAAAGGGCTATGGTCATTAATGGGTGAGTGACTCCTCTGTCTCCCAGTGGACTGGGAACCTCCTGAGGGCCAAGACCATATCCTTGTTGCTCTCAGCCCCATTCCAGCCCCCAGCACAGGATGTGGTACACCTCAGCATCCCAGGGAATGGGATTGTTTGCATAAATGAACTCTCACACGGTCCAGCACACACTAGGCCTGGGGCAGGGGTGAGGGGGAGGAGACCCAGACCTTGCCTTTGGAGGTGATTAAACTAGTTCTCTATTGCTATATAACAAATACTCCAAAACTTAGCTACTTCTAACACCAAAGATTTATTGTCTCCTAGTTTCTGAGGGTCAGGAATCTGCAAGTAGCTTTGCTGAGAGGTCCTGGTTCAGGTCTCTCATGAGGTTGCAGCCCAGCTGTTGGCCAGAAGACTTGAGTGGGGCTGGAGGATCCCCTTCCAGGTTCACCCATGTGGTTGTTGGCAGGAGGCTTCTGTCCCTCACTACGTGGGCCTCTCCACAGGGCTGCCAATGACACGGCTTCTCCCAGAGCAAGTAGAGAGAGCCGCCACACCACCCTGTGTGATCTAGCCTCTGAGTCACACGTCATCGATTCTGCCTTATTCTACTGATCAGATGTGAGTCACTAAATCTAGGTCACACTCCATACAAGGGTGTGAATACCAAGAGGTAAGATCACTGGGGGCCATCTTGGAGGCTGACTACCAGAGCCACAGCCCTTAGAGACTAGATGGGGCTACACCAACACTGTGTACTGCTGCACCAGGTAGCTCGCATGGAGGACAGAGGCTGGCCCTATGGAGGATCCCCAGATGGGTGGGGCAACAGTTTAAGCAAAGATCAGAGGTGGGAATGATGGCCGTAACACCTGGCCTGGCTGGGATGGAGTACAGGTGGCCATTAGACTTGAGGGTGCCAGGATGGGAGATGGGGGGATGGGGAGAGATTTGAGGGGTCAGAGGGAAGAGGATGCTCCCTCTTTCACAGGAACTATGGAAGCCCACGTTGAAGACATCAGTAGCACAAGATGGGAGCAGAGAGCCCTGATCTCAGAGGAGGGCTGCCCAAGAGAGTTACCCAAATAAGAATATCCACAGTGGATTTTGAGCAATAAATGTCCTTTTATCATGATAAGCCACCGAGATTGGGGGGGTGTGTTACAGCAGTTGGCCTTCCCAACCAAGGCAGCGTGCCAGGAGCTGCACATATGAGGGTTTGGTTATTAATCTGGCCCCTTCCAACTGACACCTCCTCAGGACCCCCAGGGCCCACCTCGTGGCTCTCAATTGTGTGGGAAGACGGTCTCCCCCACTCCCACAAACACAGATTCAGACATCCAGAGGACAACAGGATTTGTCAGGCGTGATAGAGAGGGTCAGAGGCCCT